CTTAACCAAATTTTAAAAATCAAGCTTCTAAAGAATTAAAGTTCTTTTTATTCAGAAGTCTTATTGAGGACTATAGCCTAAGGCCTACAGCCCAGGAGCAGTTCTTCAGGAGGTTCTGTCAGACTGCTCTGGTACTATTTTAGCTCACAGCTTATATATGGGTCATGTGGGTTCGTTATGTGCAAAATTACATCATACCCGCGCAGCAGTTACATTAACGCGGAATCGCATCAAGGTTCAGGTGTAAAGAGTACATCTGGTTATAGACCATAGAAATGTAATCACTAACTCTGCCAGATGTTATGTTATAGGCAGGAAAAGGCAAGGACTAGGGTCATTCATCTTTTAAGGAAGATAGTGACTCAGGCAAGAGATGTGGGGGGCCGTGTGCTATGTCTTGTTTTGTCTTTAGTGCAGAGCATCTTTCCAGGGAGCTCAGGTCTTCAGATGGTCAGGGGCTTTGTGAAAATATGTTGGCATGCAGAAATGAGCAAACGTGACTTCTTACATTCGCTACTTTGTCTCATCATACGTAAGTATGTATACATCTATGTAATCATAGAAAATATCTATATTTATTTATATATAGATTTATGTGCATCTATTTCTCTCCTATATGGAGAGAGACCATCAGAGTGGCAGGTAGCACTACCAAGTTATATGTATAAATATCTGTTTTTAATTTTTATTTCATACGTTGCTTAAATTTATATGTTACACATTTCTTTATATATTTTTAAAATATGCACATTTAAGTGTCTATATATAATTATTTCCAGTTATGTCTTTGTATGCGTCCTGTACGAGTAAAAAACTCCAGGCTGACTGACTTCATTGTTCCTTGAGAGCATTGATTCCAGCACATGGAGATGCCCCAGAGTGTGTTATTCGTCCAGTGGATGCAAAGATGCAGCTGTGCATGTGACTCTGAGTGTCAGGGCCACTTCTTCCCTTGTCATTTGGGAAAAGCTGATGTCCTACTCTAGGAGAGAGCATGGATAGGGGACTGGCTTTTTTACTTTTTGGATGAATGGGGTGCCAAAAGCCTATGGGACCAGGTAATGTCAGATGGTCTTATAATTAATTCCTCTGTGGTTGCTACCCCCCGCCCCCGAGATTCTAAGAATAAAAGAGATGAACTTTCTGCATGGCCACACACTTCTCATCCTGGCCTTAGGACCACAGTGCTGCCCTAATGCAAGCCGAGCTGATGGCCCCAGGCCAAATGGCAGGTCCAAGGTTTGGGGGCTCTGTGTTGCATCCTGCCCTGTGCAGGTGCAGTTCTCAGCCATCATCATGAACCCATCAAGTTGCACAAGCTAGGCACTAGTTTGGCCAACTTCATCCATCCATCTGGGCTGGCAGTGTCTAACAGTCTGCCTCTGATCTGGTTTTCTTTGCCTGCCACCTACTTTGGAGTACAGAACAATTTTTTCCAGTGAGACCTCTGTTTTCCTTGCTGAATGAACGTACGGAAGAAGCCTTAGGCACCTAGCTCCAAGGCTATTTTCAATTCATGTGTTTTCAGGTCTGTCTGTAGGTTTCTTTAGACCCAACCAGAAATGGCCAGAGGACTGTGTAGGCTTCAGCATCTGGGGCTACTTCCCTTGTGCCTAAAGTGGCTATCAGTGCCGTCCCAACCTGGCTTGGCTGTCTTTCCAGCCCGGTATCATTTTATTACATCCATACCTGCAAGTCCCCCAATGTCCCCAAACTATCCTAAGGGCTCAGACCTTTTTTATTTTTAACCTCTCTACAGAAAGCCTCTTCTCCACCTACCCAACCTCTGGCCATTTCTGGTTGGGTCTAAAGAAACCTACAGACGGACCTGAAAACACATGAGTTGAAAATAACCTTGGAGCCAGGTGCCTAAGGCCTCTTCCATACGTCCATTCAGCAACGAAAACAGAGGTCACACTGGAAAAATTGTTCTATACTCCAAAGTAGGTGGCAGGCACGGAAAACCAGATCAGAGGCAGACTGTTAGACACTGCCAGCCCAGGTGGATGGATGAAGCTGGCCAAACTAGTCCTTAGCTTGTGCAGCTTGGTGGGTTCATAATGGTGGATGCAAACTGCACCTGCACAGGGTGGGGTGCTACACAGAGCCCCAAAACCTTGGACCTGGCATTTGGCCTGGGGCCATCAGCTTGGCTCGCATTTTCTGCACCCATCTTAGCTGTTGGAAAGAAATGCACCTATCTAGATTGAAAGATAGGAGATGCGGACAGCTTTACTACCGGACCTTTCAATCTGGAGGACACACGGGCTGGGTCTGGTGTTTGCCGTCAGGGTAGGGTTACATGAAACTGGGAAGGAAAGACTCCAGTGGCCTTATAGTCTCCCCTTTTTGACAGTAGGTAGCAAGAGAGCCCAAAGGCCCCTAGTATAAATGTCCATATATCGCTGTGTGTGTCAGTGTGCATGTATTTCTGTGTGTGTGTTTTTTGGATATAATTTATTTTATACATATGCATTTATATTTATGTAAATTTGTTTCTATATGTAACCATATACAATATCTTTCTTTGTGTGTGTATGTGTGTATATATATGTATGTGTGTATATACACACATATATACATACAGGTATATATATGTACTAGGTATATACAGATACATATGTACAGACATATATGTACGTGTGTGTATATATATGTGTGTATATATTTCTCTCTTATATGGAGAATGACCACCACAGCGTAGCAGGCAGCACTTCCATTTTGTATGCATAAATCCTTAATTTTAATTTTCTGTGTTGATGCCTATATTTATATATATTACATAGGTATTTACATATTTCAAAAAATCCACATTTATGTCTGTGTCTATGTTTATTTCTGGTTATGTCTTTGCTTGTGCGTGTGTGTGTGAAAACTCCAGATTGACAGGCTTCACTACACTGTTCCTTGAGAGTAGCATTTCAACAAACCGAGACGCTATCCACCGTTATTCCCTGGCCCGCTAGGAAAATGCAACTGAGTATTGTGCTCTGCATGTGGGTCCATTTCTTCCCTTGGATTTTGGTTAAAGTTGAGTGCCTGCTCCAGGAGACAGCATAGAGTGTTGTCTGTTTTGAGGCACATGGATCCCCAAAAGTCCATGGCACCAGGCAATATGAGGTGGTCTTCCATTTGAATCTCGTCTGGTTGCTCCCTCCTGGAGATTCTTAGAAGAGCTGGGGCCTTCTGCTTGGTCATGTACTTCTCGTTTCAGCCTTGGAACCCACAGGCTGGCTGGAAGCTAAGAGATCTCCTGGCTCAAGGCCACTTGCTTGGCCTAGATGTGGGCCTTTGTGTAACTTCCCACACCCCCAAGAGCAATGGCTGCTTCAGCAGGGGAGAGCTACTCAGAGCTGCCTCTTGCAGTGTTGAGGGTCACCCAGACAGACCACTGGAGCATCGGGGAGGCTCAGAACACCCTCTCCACCCTATTCCCTTCTATTGTTTCCTTTTCCTAAAGGGCTGCACCCTAACCCTTTTTGGCCAGTACCTTGCATGTCATTTTGGCTCCAGACATCTAACAAACCTGAAATGCTCCCTTCTCGGTGCCCCTTTCCAGCACCCACATGACACATCCTGGGGACTCAGTCATTGCGAGCCCCATGTGAAGCTGTCCCTAAGGGCTTTGGCCCGGAGTCCATCTCACTTGCCTCCAGGCTCCTCCCTTTGTTCCAGTTCGTCTACAGGGCTTGGCACTCAGTTCTATGCTGCTCTCCATGCTCTTGCCTGTGTGCCCGTGTGGCCTCCCCAAACGACTGTGTGATCTCTGGGTTGGAGGCTGTGTCATTACAATCAATTACATGCAAAAAGTCTTTATGGGGATGGGTGAGGGAAGGAAAATAAAATGTAAATAAATCTTTATAGGCCACTTAATACCCTGTACCTGCAAAGCAGTGTTCTCAGGGGTGTGTGTGTGTGTGTGTGTGTATGTTGGTATATCAGCATGTCTATGTGAGTGTGTGTCTGTGTATATGTCTGGGTGTCTGTGTCTGTGTGAATGTGACAGTCCATCTTTACGTGTGAGACACTAAGGGGAATGAGCCACACATCCTGCTCTGAGGCACTCAGTCTAGATGGAGGGTAAACTGTGGCACAATAACTAAGGTGGGAATCGGGCACACGATGGAGACAAACGAGGGGGAGATCACGGAAGGGGCCAGGAAGAACTTTGTGGAGCGAGTGGCATCTGTGGTGGGCTTGAGAGGGGAAGCAAGTTCCACCTGGGGTGGCAGTGGGAGGAAGGACCTTCTGAGGAGGGACCTGCTGGAGCAAGGCCCAGGGGGCAGGAGCATGAGTGTCACTGGGGGAAGCAGGGAGGGAGTCGAAGCTCCAGTTTGATGGAAGGCTGGCTCTGGCTGTTCTCAGGGAGTCTCCTCTGGTGCTGGCCCCTTAGTGGGGTTTGCGGGGACTGGCTCATAGGCACCACCTGCCTCTGTCTGTTCAGGAGGTCGGTTGGAGTCAGGAAAGGATCTGACTACTTGGGCTCCTCAGAAGCCACGCTGGAGACTCGGAGACTCCCCTTGGACACTCAGCCAAGAGGCGTGATGGAAGATGGGGCATGGATGTGCTGTGGCTGCACCTACATTCTTGGGGCTCCCCCCAAGCACTTCTCACTCCTCAATCCAGGTGTCCCAAGTGAAGCTTTTGCAGGCACCAAGGGCCCACAATTGAGTGAGAGGACTGAGGGTCAGACTCAGCGATGGGAGTCCACGTTAATTTTGTCAACCCATGTGACTTTATTTTCCCTCACCCCAAAGGATCAAAGACAGAATGCAGCACAAGCTGAGGTCCAGGCTCTGAAAGAAATCTGAGTATTCCCTGCAGGAGCATATCATAAACTCAGCACACATTCTGAGCTCAGGTTCCCATTCGTTCCTACCAGGGGAACCTGGCTGTGTTCTCAGTGGAGAAGGCACCTCCCACAGGTGACCACTGCAGTAGCCTGTGTGTCTCAGTGCTCCCTGTGCTGGTGTGTTGGCTGAACCAACTCCCTCCTGTACTTGAGCTGCCAGAAGCCACTTGGAGGAGCAGGGACAGCTCCCACTCCAGGTCCTCAATCCTCTGGGCCAGGTGGACTCTCCTCATTTCCAGCTCTAGAGCCTTGTCACTCTTCAGGGCCCAGATTCCCAGCTTCTCCCCACCTGGGCCACCTGCCTCCAGTGGGTTAGGTCTTTCTTCCTGCCTCTCACAAGGGAAGATGCTGGGAGCCACCTGGAAAGGACAGATGTGGAACCAGGAGAGGTGACCAGTCCTCCACTCACTCTGGCCTTAGCCATGATCTTTGCCACTCTGGCACTCTTGGGGCACCAACACCCACCTCACACTTGGGAAAGGACCAAGAAGCTACCTCCAGGGACTGACCTCATGATTAGCTAATGACGACACTAATGTCCCGAGTCTATGTTACCACATTAATGCACAACAGCCAAGTATATTATGACACAGTTGTCACTTGAGCAATTTGGAACAATTATTAAATGATTAAATCTCACTGCATTTCATAGTCCCTTGCCTAATACTGTTTTTTCCTTCCTTAATACCTGGGCTATTTATATAGGATTTTATTTTTTAAAGAATGAAGTTCTCCTGTTGATCTATTCTCATCAATCACTGTCTTCTGACCCCTCGACACAGCCAAGGACAGGTCCCTGCACCTGGTCCCTCTGCAGTGGAGCTGGCCTCACAGCTGCCAGTCTCAGGTGGAGGCAGATTCAGAGAGGAATGACTCCTCCACTAGCACAAACTCTTTGGAAGGCATCCAGATAAGGCCCAGGGCAAGAATAATTGGTGTGTTGAGAAGAGAACATAACAGTAAGCTGGAGTTTGCATTTGGGCTTCATGAGAGGTCCCTTTTCTGGGGCTCAGGAATGCTGTAGGGCCATAAGAGACACAGTTCCCATAGCCCCACTGGGAAGGGGTTTGTGCATTTCATGGCCGTTACTTGGACCCCACCCTGCCTTGTTTGCTCACAAGATACATTTTCTCTCAGTTGTTCATGAACATAGTTATCCTTCCTTGCCATTTTTGTCTTGAGAGAGAGGTCACTTTGACCAAGAACACTGATGCTCCAGACATCAAGACCCAGGTATACGTGATGTTCTCCTGGAACTTTCCATATTCAGGAAGGATTCTGACCCTCTTCACTGTGTGTAAAAATGAGAAGAGAAGAAAACCCACTCAAGGCTACTTCTTGGCCCCATTCCCAGGGTTTCTGTGGCAGGGGGTATTCCCTGACTAGACAGAGGGGATTCTGTGGTGTCTTGGGGTATGCCAGCCTAGATATCCACTGGGGGTAGGCTTGTGAGGGGAGGTGCCCACCTGCACCCTTCCAACACCCAGGGTGTTACCCATTTTTAGCAACTCAAGAACTATGGTGTGGTAAGAGTGACACTGAGATTAGGTGCAAAAGTCCAGGGGGACTTGCAGTTTAGAAGGGAGGGTGAAACACGACACAATGACTAAAGTGGGTATCAAACACACAGTGAAGACAAAATGATGTGAGGGGATACCAAAAACCTCAAGTTAGAATAAATTTTATGCAGTGTTAAAACAGTAACACTGGCAACCTAAGGCCCATAGGCCAGCTGCAGGCTTTAGCAAATAAAGTTGTGTTGCACTGAGTGCAGACACAACTGCATGATTATTATTATTATTTTTTTTTGAGACAGGGTCTCACTCTGTTGCCCAGGCTGGAGTGCAGTGGTGCAAACATGGCTCAATGCAACCTTGACCTCCTGGGGTCAAGAAATCCTCCCACTCAGTCTCTCACATCATGGCAAGGGTGCTACCACACCCAGCTATATTTTAAATTTTTTGTAGAAACAGGGTCTTGCCATGTTGGCCAGGCTGATCTTGAACTCCTGGGTTCCAGCAGCCCTCCTACTTCAGCCTCCCAAAGTACTGGAATTGCAGGTGTCAGCCATTGCACCTGGCTTGAGTCATTTCTGTCTCTAGTCTTTTTTCCCTCCAGCCTTCCCTATATCTGCACCTCTAGAGCCTAGAGCAAAGATGGAAGGCAACCTAGATGGAAGATGCAGCTCACAGAAAGCTCCTGATTTGAGGCACATACTGTCCAATAGGCTATATTTACACAGTAATTTTTATTGTTTGCTTTCCATGATTTTCCTCAATATTTCCAGGCTATGGATTTACTTAGAGAGCTGCAACCCTAAGCTGTTGGCATGGGCTTCCCTGTCTCCGGCCCCAGCTCCAAGGCTTCCTGGCATAACCTTCCATTCACCAAACCAAACATGCAGAACCTGACTTTTTCTGGTGGACATTCTGATCAGAGCTGACTGTTCTGATCCCAACTCCTCCCTGTGGAAGGACCATAACCCCATGGGACACGCCCCTATAGACAATTCAGTACCTGAGACCTTAGGCTGCTGGGCTTACCACAAGCATGCCACCTTCACCTGGAGGCAGTGGGTTTGGCCTGTCCTCCTCTTTCTGGAGCTCCAGGGCTTGAACGCTGAGCTGGAAGAACTCCTCATTCAGTGCATCCAAAGTGTCTTCCACCTGCCTCATCTTTCTCTACAAACAAGGGCATATGGTCTTCATTACTTTTATGAAAACTGCATTAAAATTTTCTTGTGCTCCTGCTCCATGATAGGCAGCAGGGCAAGTGTTGGACATACAGAGTCAAAATCCAGTGTTATTCTCCGAGGACTCAGAGCCTGGAGGCCAGATAAGCCAGACCTATAGTCCAGCAAAGCAAAGTAGGAAAAGCTATTGTGGAGAGAGGCACTGGGCACTTTGGAAGCAAAACGTGGGACACCTAGGCTAGGTAGAGTTGTCGGGGAGCGATCTCTGGATTAGGGGACATATCAGCTGGATCTTAAAGGATGGACAGTAGTTAGCTGTGTGGAGAGTGGGAGAAGAGCAATCTAGGCAAAAGGAACGGCACGTAGGAAAACTGTTAACAGATATGAGAAAGCACAGGGAAGATTTATTTAGCCATCTGTTCATCCATCCATCCACCCCTCCATCCATCCATCCACCCACCCACCAACCTACCCATCCATCTATTAATTCACCCATTCATCTATCCATCCACCCATGCATCTATCCATACATTTATCCATACATACACTCATCCATCCACCTATCTATCCATCCATGCATCCATTAATTCACACACCCATTTATCCATCTATTAGTTCATCCACTCATCCATCCGTCCACCCACCCATCCATCCATCCATTTATTCATTTATCCATCCATTCATCTTCCTACCCATACATTAACCCAGCTGCCCATTCATTCATCCATCCATTAATCTACCTACCCAGCTATTCATCAATTCACCCATCCACCCATCTACTCACTCACTTATCCGTCCATTGATTCATCCGCTCATTCATTTATCTATTCATCTACCCATACATTCTGTGTATTCATCTATCCATCCATCCAACCATCCATCCATCCATCCATCCATCCACTCACCCATCCATGTATCCATATATCCATTCATCTTCCTACCCATCCACTAACCCATTTACCCATCCATTCATCCATCCACTCATCCACCCATCTACTTACCCACCTATTCATTCATTCATTCATCCATCCACCCACCCACCCATCCATACACCCACCCATTCACCCATCTACTCACCCATCCATCAACCTACCCATACATCTACCCATCCACCCACATCATCCATGTATCCATCCATCTATTCACTCATCCACTCACCAATTCAACCATCTACTCATCCATCCATCTATCCATCCATCCTGCCACCCATCCATCCATCCATCTATCCATGGGTGGATGGATGATTCATACATTCATCCATCCACCCACCCACCTATCCATCTACCTACCCACCAATGCACCCATCTACTCATCCATCCGTTCATCCATCTATCCATTCATCCACGTCTACCCACCAATCCATCCACCCATCTACTCACCCACCCATCCACCCACCCACCCACGCATCCATCCATCCATCCACCCACCCATAAGTAAAAAAAAGACTTATTGCACACTTAGTATGTATCAAAACAAGGATCCATTCTGGGACTCCATTAGTGAACTTCCATGGAGTTTGTGGTATATCAAAGAAGGCAGACACAGAACAAGAAATGATATGTGATGAGGGTTACTTGATGACTATTTGGGTTGTTGTGGGAAGTAGTAGCATGAGATTTGTTTGGAAAAATGGGAGGAGATGATGTTAGAGACATGGGGGTGGTGTGGGGCCTGGGGACAGCAGGAGATGAAGGGCCTCTGTGCTCTTCTTGCATTGTGGGATCACATAAAGCCCACGACGTCGGAGACTTTCCTATTAATAGAACCCTCATTTTCTTGGAAATGCCAGTGTGCCCAGCTGAAAAATGACTTATCTCAGACTCTCCTGTAGATAGAGGTGATCATGCAGCTAAATTTTGTCCAGTGAGATGTAAAAGATGCTGTTGAGGAGGTGGATTCTGAAAAACGTCTTTAAAAGGGGAAGCTGCTAAGTTCCTTTTTTACCTCTTGCATTTCCAACAGCTATCTTGTAACCACAAATGAACATGAAGATGGAGGTCACGTGCTAAGGTCATAAAGCAGAAAGACAGAAGGATCCTGGAATTTGTAGGTCCCTGGATGCTGATGAATTTGCTTTTGAACACATTAAATTTAAGCCCTCTGCGGGCATTCCATGAGCTAACACAACCTCAATTGCATGGTGAGTTTAGCTGTCACAGAAAGCCCACTTTTTGCTCCACACATGAAATAGCAGCTAAAATAAAAATATAAATGAAGAGCCATGTTTAAAAGAAAACTCTTCAGACACCAGAGATGATGAGACAAGTCAGGGGTAGGAGGGAGGTGAAGACACGTGGCATGTGGGTTTTCCTCCTTAGAAGCCAAGGAGTTAATTCCCACCTTAGTCAGGTGTTAAGCTGTAAGCACCACTATGGTGGGAGAACTGGTCCAGGGGTGCCTAAGGAAAGTCTGGACCGAGGAAGTGGCTGTCTGTTCTCTGAACTTGGATTAGAAACCTCTATCCAGCCTGAAGATATGGCCCTGTAGCTGAGTAGGTTTCTTGCTCAAGGGTGTGGTTGGAAAAGAATTGATGTGAGAAACTGGAAGCACAAGGCCACCCACCTTGGAAGGCCAGAGCCTAAGAACAGGACTGGAAAAAACCAACCCCATACACGGTAAGCAGAGACAACCACAGTTGCAGCACCAGAAGGTCTGCACAGAGGAAAGTCCCACTGGAGATGACACAGACAAAAACACAAAACCTGCAAGGAAAGCTGATGACGTGAGAATCAACAACAAAAAACACACCCAAGAAACCAAAGATAATGGTGAAGTCTGACCATGACTGTCATATGGATTCTATTCCTCCTTTTGTTTTTCTTCATACTTAAACAATATGAAGAAAAATAAAAGGAGGAATAGAATCCATCAGACAAGAACAGGAACACTATAGAGAGAGAGAAAAAAAATCGTAGAAGTGAAAAAATGTTAATAAAATGACATTGTGTCTGGTGGATTACAGACAGAGCCAACTGCGGTGAGTTGCTAGAAAATTATGAGGAAACAACCTGGGATGTAGCACAAAGAGGTGAATGGATGGGAAACAAGGAAGCACATGGGAGGCAGCGATTTTCAGTATGGTCCAGCAGTACCCATTAACAGATGGTGCTCTTGGCACGCAAGCATCTGTTCTTTGTGTAGAGTTTCCCTGTCCTCACCCTGGGATGCGCAAGGGAGTAATACTAGGGAAATGCATCAGATTACTACATGCTTAGGAGTGGAGTTGCTTGTTTTCAGTGGAAGGGCAAAAGCATGGAGTTGGGAGTCTCCCTACTGACAAAAAACAGGTTTCAAGGTTTTCCTCCCTTTTCTTTTTCCTTCTATATCAGATCTGACTTACTATTTTCTGATTAAAAAGAAATGAAAATCAAAAATATACCAGAACATAAAAACTCCCACCTTTCATTTTTTTCTAATTTTAAAAGATAACACCTACTCAGTGGAGAATACTAGTAAAGATAACAATTCAAGGTACAAACAAGTACAGTAATGTTGTCCGTAACCTGCCGAGATAGATTGCACCGATGGCCCCTCTTTGGGCATGTGTCCTCGCCCTGTAGTTTGGTGGTGTCCTCCCACAATGGCTGGTGCTTTTTTCTCACTCCTTGATCTGGGATCCACCACCTGACTTTCTTGCACCATTCGGATGAAGCCGAAGTCACAATTTGCCAGTTCTGAGCCTGGGCCTCAAAGAGCCTTTTGGAATTCTGCCATCATTACGAGAAGGACATGCCCAGCCTAGCCCGCTGCCCTGCGGGAGGAGGAGCGATCCTGGTGCCTGGCTGCCCCAGATGAACTGAGCTGGGCAAGCCCAGTCTAGAGCTGGGTTCAGGTCAGAGGCTGAACCCCCACACTGCAGGAGCAATGGACGCTTGCTTCTCTTTGCTGCTGAGGGTTTGCACTGTTTGTCCTGCAGCAAAAGTTAACTGATATCCAGTAACTGAGCTCACATTTCATGTCTTCTCCTTTCAGTTTCTCTCCCTTCCCCCAGGCTAGTCTCTCTCCTGTTTTTATGGCCCTGTCTTGCCCTGTTGCTACCTTATCTCTTTATGAGCACACATGTACTCATTTTTGAAATAATGTCATACTTGCATTCTCTTTTAATCGTTTAACCTAAAGACACTAAAAATTCTCTGTAACATTATTTTTACTAAAGGCGTAACTATGTCATGACGTTAGCATAATCCAGGTAACCCTTACATTACTGAAAGTTTAGGCCACCTCCACTCATTTTAACGTTACAAAAATTGCAGTGAGCATGTTTCTTGATGTTCACTTGTATTTTAAGATTATTTCCTTTGGAGAGATTCTTAGAATTGGAGTTAATGAGTCAAAAAGAGTAAGTATTTTAGAGGCTTCTGATACAAATTGCCAGGTTGCTTTCCAGAAAGGTTTTAACTTTTCACTTTAAAAGAAAATCAAAGGACTTCACCCCAAAATACCCTTCTTTGACATATTTTGAGAAGGCTGTTCAGGGGGCCTGCAAACAGAAGTAGCCTTACACAGCTGTCTTTGCTGGGGGAGAGCATCTGCATCTGTAGAGAACCTGCTTTGGTGCAGCCAGGCTTTCTTTGAGGCCCTCCTCTTTCCGAATCTAGGAAAGATTAGCTGAGAGTCTGACCTTTTCTAAGGTCTGAAAGAAACATTCACCATCTTTTCTGTCTGAGAGCTGCTACCTGTGAGGTTTCATCTGCATAGCAAGGCCACCTTTGCTAGCCAGGCCTTCTCTTCTGTCCATCCTATAACCTGTCTTGCCACCCTCAAGCCCCTCTTCTTTCTGTAACTTTAAGAGGGTATAAAAACTTCAACCATCTGATCCCCCTCCCCTGCTTTGAGCCTCATACTTTGTGTATGGCTCCCAGGCTCGCATGCGCATTAAAAATAATTTTGTATGCCTTGTTCTCCTTTAATCTGCATTTTGTCAGTTCACCTCCTGACAAAAGGTGAAAGGGGGAAATTTCCCCTCTTCTCCTCTACACTATTAGGGCCATTTACATGTTTTTCTAATAGAGCAAGGGTATCTATTAATGGTAAAATTTTAATTTAGCGAACTTATTTGATATTGTTATGGGATCATATCTATTGTTGCTTTCTTTTGGGTTTTCTCTCATTATTTGAAGATTCTTTAAACCTTCACAGGTTCCCGCCTCTTGGTCTTGAGAACATTGTAGACAATCAGTTAACACTTGTTGATTGAGTGAATTATTTCTCTTGACCAGTATTCTCCAATCTTAATTTCTTTGTCTGTAAAACACTCCTTCGAGTACTTTGTCTCCAACTTTGTGTTTGATTTCTGTCTCCCAGAGTCGCCTGTGACATGTAGTTAAGGAGTAGGGCTAAGAGGTGAAACAGCCGGACGGCAATGAGAAACCCTGGAGGTGAAATTAAATAATTCAGACTTAAAGCCATTGGAACTTATTCTGAGCCATGAGAGGAGTGTGGTGGCTATGCAGACTGAGTTACAACACAGGCAGCTCAAGCTCTTGTTTGTTTTCTGTAAATAATTAGGAAGACCAGGCTGTGGTAGAGATAAGACCTCCTACAGTAGTTAGTAATAAGGTAATCTTCCTTGGAACAGAGCAATCTGTAACCAATCTAATCTCTGTAAGATACGCACTGGCCCTGTGTGGAAAATGTTGTCATGCTGCTAACATGTCTGTGTCTGCCTATATACGTGAAACCTTAACTTCTCCACTTTAGAATACTACCCCATTTATTTGGAGTCTAGAAGATAGTCCTAGGTGGCTATCTTCAAGCTTTGCGATTCAATAAACTCTGCGTAATCATATTTTCTGACTCTCATTATTTAAAATGGACATTTTGGTGCCTACCAAGGAACTAAAAGCAGACCTCCAGGGATCCACGTCACTTTTCTGACAGCTACAGCCCTGGTACCGGCATTAATGACTTTCATTCATCCGGCCTCACCAGAGTCACAGGGGATCTCTGGTACTGCCCCTCTCAGGTTCAAGTCTCTTGGCTTGGTTGAGATTCAGACTTTATTCAGGTACCACATGTTCCTAACTTGATGGGTTTGAAATTAAAGCTCTACTGCAAGGTAGGGGTTTTATTTGTTATTCTAGAGATTCTGTTTATCACAGATTTGTAATTTTCACTTTTCTCTGAAGTTAAGGTTTTGCTTGGAATTATTCCTTAGAGTTTTTCAATCTTTTCTCTCATTTAAAATTTTGATCACAGAGAAAAAGTTTCTCTTTGAAAAGAGGAAGTAAATCTTTGTGACTTAAGTGAAAAATGTGTAATTTTTAAAACTGGGGAGATTCTGAAACTTGGTTCAATTGCACTAGAGATATGGAGGGATACCCACGGGAGAGTGTATCCACACCATTACAAGTACTGGCAGACATGCCACTGAATGGGCACAGTGACTGGACGGTTATGGGCTAGCTCCAGTGGAATGTCTTGGTTATGCAGCACCAATTCCAAGGCCAGGACTTACCCCCAGGATTGTTAGGACTGTGTTCTTTGGGTAACGGCTAGGCACCAAGTCACATAATTCATAACCTTTCAAAGCCCTCAGATTTTCCTCATTTATCATTTCATTGGATTTATTCTGTCTTCCATTGATGTGACTATTTACCTTCCATCTTTCTGCCACAACAGGGTATTGAGAATGCAATTTAGCACGCAGAGGCCCTAACCAATTACACAAAGAAGATCCTTAAGGATAGCTGTGTGGGTGTCTCATTACTAAACAAGAAAGTTGTTCTTATGAGGCAGGCTGTATTAGACACACTCATGGCAGCCCATGGGGAAACCTGCACTACCCTAAAAACTGAATGCGTGTCTATATTCCAAATGATCAGATAACAACACTAAATTAATGGCTGATATGAAAACCCAAATACTTAATCTTTCAGAATCAGCACCTTCTCTAAATGATTGGCTAAACAGCTGGATTGGATCCTGGCAAACTTGATGGCAGAGCTGTTATTTATTACAGGAATTATAATCATTTGTTGTGTTTTGTCCTGTTTTTTTGTTTGTTTGTTTTTTTCCCTCATTGCTGCCGTGGCATTTGTTCACAATGGAGTTGATGCGTAAGTGTAGTGATTAAAATAATGGTCACTCAGATAATTGCATTAATTAAAGATGTGGCTGTGTAGTTTGACTCAGGTGCAAAATCACCTGGTTCATATTGCTTTAAATTCAGCCTATACTCCATTTGCCTTATAGCTTGATCAGTTCCCCAGCCGTGGGACCTGAGGAATGAGCCTTCCTCACAACACAGAACTACGTTCCTGAACATAAATGGAGCCCAAACAGTTTGAGATCATTTACAATACTTTCTTTGACAGATCTTGATAAAAAGGGGGAAATGTGAAACTAACTCATTCAAACTTAAAGCTGTTGGAACTTTAAATGATTCTGAGCCTTGAGAGGAGTGTGGCTATATGGCCTGAGTCACATGGTAGTTGCAGCTTCTACCTTTTTTTTTTTTTTTTTGCTGTAAATAATTTGGAAGACCAAGTGGCACCAGAGATAAGATCCCCTTCAGATCATTACCCCTCCTCACAGAGTAATAAAGTAACCTTCCTCGGAATGTAGCCATCCGGAACTAAGCAAATCTCTGTAATGTATGCACTGTCCCTGAATGGAAATGTAATCCTGCTAAAATCTCTCTGTCAGTGCCTATGTAAGTAAACCTTTACTTTTCCACTTTGAAATGCTGACCCCATTTGTTTGGAGGCTGTGTTTCCTGAGAGGTCATCCTCCATCTTTGTACTCAAACTTTATACTTAATTATACTCATTATTAAGGTTGATGGAGGGGGCAGCATGTCCAGGGAATGAGGCTACCTCAAGAGCTCCTGAGGTGAAGAGGGCCTTGTCCCAGAGCCATGCACCTACCTGCAGCTCAGGAGTGGCTCCATGCCTGTGTCCAGCCTCAAAGATCCACTCCCCAGGTCCTGGGCTCTCGGCATCTCTTCCTTTAGCATCCCCCTGGGGGAGGTCTGGGGGTCCAGGGTTCTGCTGGGGTCTGAGAGTAAGAGGAAGGAAAGGTTCCCTTTCAGGCCCCTGCTGTCCAGAGGCACATCCCACCTCAGCCAGAATCCAAAAAGAACACTGGCCACTTTCAACTCCTCCGTGAGTGTCTGACATTAGAAAAGGCTGTGATATTAATGTGATGGAGAAACTGATAAACTCTCAGAATCGCTGATGTTCCCCTATAGCCTGCTCCACCTCTGCGTACAGAGCAGCCTTCTCAGTGAAGGGCAGCAGAACATATGTTATCACCCCAAAGCACGCTATGCTGGCATACAGACTCTTCTGAGCTGAAGGCATTTGAGAAGAAGCAGATACAAGAAAAGCTCTTGGCCCTCCATTTGCCTAAAAGTAAGACACAAATTTGTAAAGGTATCCTCCCCTCCTCTCTCTACCTGGAAGGACAGAGGCAATCAGTCACTGGAGGCAGGTACACGCAGAGGAATCTACATAACAAACTGCTAAAACTGGTCCTTATCTGCCATCCATTTCCTCACATATTTACCTTCCCTCAGCTTACCACCCTAGAAACTCAATGCCATTTTCCTTTGTTTTGTGCTTCTCTGAAAATGTATTATTCTCTTTTAAAGATGCTAAATAAGCCCAAGTTCTAACCATCCCCTTGAGTTACTCATCCTCGGGTGTCCCTGTGGGTATGCCAGATGCCCGTGTTAGGAACTTCTGTTTGTTTATCTTTTTTTGGCCTATCTTTTGTTAGTCTCATTTACAGGGTCTCAGATGGAAAGCCTAAAATGGGTTGAAGAGAAGGGTCAATTTTCTTTCCCCACCTCAGGCTAGCTGTGTCCTTGATAGGGCCAAAGACCATGGTGTCAGGGCCTCCCCACACTGCACTGCTTTCAGGTCTGGGAGGGGAGACACTGCCCAGTGTGGTCACACATACCTGCCATACTTTTGCACACAGTCCCTTATTACGCTCCCAAGTTTTCAGTCTAGAATGTGCCAGCTGTTTCATGCTGGAACCCTGTTCCGTGCATTGCTATACTCTTCAGAGTCCCCTTAGGCAACTCAATTCTGATCTGTTTCCATGCCTTGAATTGAGAGGGCTGGGCCATCCCAGGGAGCCTTAGAACCTCTGGAACTGCTTAGTCCATGAGCCACACCTGGGCTTTCTCTCCTAGTGTCTTTGTCAAGAAACATCCTTCTGTACCTCTCCAGTTAGGAACCCACCCTTATTGTAAAGCCCATGTCAAATGATCCCCGCTTCACAAACCCTTTGCTGATCCTTACGAACTTTAAATCTCTGGAACCTGGTCACTTGGATTCAGCATTTCTCGCCTTTTCTTATCATTGTTGGCACCCTCAGGCCTATTCCACCCGACTCACTCATCTTCAAACCCTGCACAATGCCCCACATCAGATGGCCATCACTGTTTGTTGAATGACATTATCCTCAGATGGTAGCTCATGGAATTGGCTGGAGAAAGTGTTTGCTCAGGATCCACAACATTCAGGGCAGAGTGCATTCTAGAATCTGGAGACCCAGATTCTTAACTCTTCTTACCTCCAGGGTCCCCAGGCCCGAGGCTCTAGGAGAATCCAGACTCCTCTCTCCCTGCCTACGGGACACTTTAGTTACTTGTGTACACTTTCTGAGCCTCTTAAACAAAACAAAACAAAACAAAAAAACTAATAGCAGGGGTGTTTCTGGGAAGGAGGACTGACCATGGCTTTAGTGGAGGGTTGGAGGGGAGGCCTGAGCAGGTGAGCAGTACAGGCTGGGCTGTGAGAGTCTGACCCTCTAAGCTGAAATCTCAGCAACTTCACCCTCAGTTTCTTCATCTTTAAATGAAGCTAGTGATAGTACTTATGTCAAGTTGTTGTGAGGACTGAATTAGATAGCAGATAAAGTGCTTATCTTAATACCTTGTTTTTAATAAACGCAAGCCGTCAATGATTGTTACCACTTACTGTCATTAAAAGGGGATGAAGGAAAAAGAGACCATGCCTCTAAACATTCATAGAACTCATCAACATAAGCAAACAAATCCATCTTAGCCTCTGGGAAAACTTAGAGGAAGAACAAAGAGATCCCTTGGTTACACCCCAGAAGAGATGGCATATAGTTGAAGAAAACGAGAAGGAGGTGGGGGATGGGGTGTGACGTCTGGGGTCCACCAGCCTGAATGTGGCCTTGTTCCCATGGGTGGGAATAATTTCTCTAAATGACATGTGTTCCAAAGAGTTACTCAAGTCACTGGACCCTGTGGCTAACCAGGTGGGCATGACAATGGGGGACTACGGAAGCAGGGACCCCTGGAATCTTGTAGCTGGATTTGAATGGATTAAGGTGTTAAATCAGGTTTTGGGTATAAGATTGTCACTGCCAGGGAGCTAAGGTCGCCCCTAGGGACACATCTGCTGCTACAGCAGCTTGTCTGGTTCCTGCCCCCACCTTGTGCTTTGGTGCTCCTCATCGGAGGGTGCAGGCTGGGCCGTCAGGAGCACATCCCGCTGGCAGCTGGAGGGAGGCTGTTCACCAAGCTGACCGGAGGCCTTGGAAGAACAGAGAGCCAGGCCTGTAATTTCCCCTCTAGGTTTTGGGCCCGGAGAAGAACAGCGACGGACAGATGAGGGCAGCATTGCTAAAGCAACGAAGGCACATGCCCTGAACTGAGCTTGGGATTCCTGTGACCTAGCTCCTGACCACGGGCTGCTCCCGGGGACACAGGCAACTGCCTGGCGGGAGCTAAGACCTGCTGTGGGCTGTGGTCTTGGCCCCTTGGAGATACATGCCACCTTGGTGTTATTCTGCTTTGTTCACTGTGGGGCACTGACAGGCTCAGGCAGGGGTTCCTGAACAGAGGCCCGCCGTGCCTGCCTTCCCTTCCAAATGCTGCTCTGAGGGCAAGATCCCTCTGCCGCCTGAGCTCTGTATGGTGGGTTAGAAGACCAAGCAGTGGACTGGGGAGATAATCTCGGACACACATCTTGGAGGAGATGAAGAGCAGAAACTGGGGTTGATCTTCCAGTACAGGCAAAGTGCCCTGGGTTTCTGATCAGAGTGCAGAGCCCCAGCCCCGCAGGGGTATGAGGCCCCAGTGCATGAGTGAGGGGTGTGCGGTGTATGCGTATGTGTGCGTGCATGTGCGTGTGAGTGTGGATGTGCACACCTGAATGTACCTGTGTGTGATTTGTACATGTGTGTGTCTGTGTGCATGTGTGGTTGCAGATGTGCATGTGTGTGTGCCAATGAGTCTCCACGGGGTCAGGGGACTGGGCAGTGGTTCTGCATACACAAGTGTGCTCAGGTGCCCCCTGGCAGCCTTTCACCTTTCTGCTGGCTCTGGCTGACCGTCCCTGTGCCTGAGGAAGTGCCGATGCCAGGGCTGCGATGGCTTGGTCAAGCTCCAGCTGAAAGCCCAGGGTAGTGGCGCTGGGACTGCGGCCTGGGGAAGGAGGACACAGGAGAACAGAACACCTTCAATATGTTCATCTCACCCGGCCACAGACCTCCCCAACCCGACGTTCACGTCACTCCCCTGCTTTCAAAGCCTTGTGTGTGGTTGTGTGTGTGCCTCTCACCTTCTACTTTTCCCTCCATTTCCAGAGCCCATTTCCATCTCCCTCTGGCACTGGGACACTCACCATCCTGTGCTAAACACATGTGGATAGAACCCTGCGGGACACATGGTGGTGCTTTGCATATGAATGCTTTGGTTTTCATACACCTTTCTTCCCTTCCTACGTCTTATCCTGTTTTACTTTTCTTTTTTTAACTCTAAAATGTTTACAGACCCACCCATCTTTCATTTACACATCTCCTCTGTCCCTTCCACCTATTCTGACCCTTCCTCTTGTTGGCCACACTTTCCTGCACCCCAGGCACCCGCAGTCACCCACACCTGATGGCAGCCACGCCAGGCACCGTCTTCGGGGGCCCCACAGCGAGATTTTTGAAATAGCCACTCAGAGTAGTTTTTCTGAGTTATAGGATCATTTCACCAAAGTGTTGATTAATTGCTTCATTCTTATCAATTTGATAAGAGTTTCATCCCATCCCTCTTAAAAAAAAAAAGTCCCTTTCCAAGAAAAAAACTTAACCTGCTTTGCAGTTAGTGATAGCTTCGGAGGAATGCAAGGCTTCATGCAGCCTTGTAACCAGCTTCCACTCAGCAAGCAAAGGGGAATCTTCGGGACATAGAGGTTTGTTTGTTTGTTTGTTTGTTTGTTTTTTCTTTCTTTTTTCTTTGTTTTTGAGACAGGGTCTTGCTCTGTCACCCAGGCTGGTGTGCAGTGGCACGATCTTGGCTCACTGCAACCTCTGCCTCCGCCTCCTGGGTTCAAGGGATCCTCCCACCTCAGCCTCTCGAGTAGCTGGGATTACAGGCATGCATTATCACACCTGGCTAATTTTTGTATTTTTAGTAGAGATGGGGTTTCACCATGTTGGCCGGGCTGATCTCTAACACCTGACCTCAGGTGATCCGCCAGCCTTGGCCTCCCAAAGTGTTGGGATTACAGGTGTGAGCCACCGTGACCAGCCTGGGACAGAGTTTTTAGCTTAGTCTCAGACAGGGTTCAGAAGAAGGTGGTTTTCTTGGTCCCTTCCTTCTCACAGTCACTGGGTGTCCTAGCTCACCTGTGTACTAACGAGAAGTTTGAGAAGGGAACTGGCCTGGAGCAAAGATCAAGAAAGGCTCAACCCGTGCTCTGTGGCGCGGGGTGAGGACAGCAGGGTTTCCGGCATCTGTCTGCCCTGCTCCTCAACTCCCCACCAACTGGGCCCACAGGGCCTTGGAGGGCCCCTTATCCAAGGATACGGTCACAAAAAAGTGACACATTTTCGAAGGACCCACCCCTTTCTGGAGCACGACCTTCATGAAGGACAAGTGGGGTGGGACCCTGGCCTGGCCTACCCAGCTGTCTCCCCGGAAGGGCCAGGAGCTCCGTGGCAGGCCTGCGGCTCTTGGAACCGGAGCCTCAGTGACTGGGCAGAGCAGCCGCAGACCTTGGTCCGTAAGCCCCTTTATTCCCTTCCGGCTGGAGAGGAGGGGGTGTAGCTGAGACTGGGCTTCTGACAGGATTGTGGTTGGTTCTGTCAGCTTCTATAAGCTTCAGTTCCTCAACTATGAAATGGAGATGGTGATAATTTCAGTCACAGGTTTCCTGTGACAACTAAATGGGTTCAATGAGGCAATGTCTGTCCTGTGTGTATAAACCAGCTCCTCAGGGGCTGTGGAGGGACACAGTAGGGAGTCCCAGAATCCCCTATTCTCTGCAGGAGGGGTGAGGCCAGCTCCCTTCCAACCTCCTCCAGACGGCCGTATGTGATCGTCCCCCAGCGGGAGCGTCTCCACCCACTCTCAATGCTGGCAATACGACGTTGCTGTGCCCCCTATTATCTTGATCACTGGGCAATTCACTCCCCAGGTGTGCAAATCACTTCCTAGTTCATGCTAGGAGTTTTCACCTGCCATCCTGCCCACCCAGGCCCCTGCCCTCACCTGGAGGAGGCTGCTGGCACTGCCTTTGAGAAGCTGCAGTGTGGCTGTCCCATGGTTCCTGGCTCTGCCCAGTGTCTTCTCTGGCAGTGGCTTTGGGATCTGTTTCAGGGTCTCCACCCCTGCCTAGAGCTTGCTGCTCAGTCCTGCTGAGGCCCTGCAGAAAGTCCTGGAAAATCCAGGGCTGGGTCACCCTCTTAGCTGAGGGCATCCTTCTTGGCTCAGCAGTATCCAGAAGGGGTGGGTGGCTGCTCCCCGGGTGGCAGTCTGGGGATGGGGGCTGACCTGGAGTCCCTGGAGCTGCTGCGCAGTGGCCCTGTAGAAGGCCAGGGCATCACTCCTGTGCTTGCTCAGCTGGGACGCAACATGCAGGTTCTGGTCCTCGAGCTTATCGTACAGTGTGCGGATGCTGAAGTCCTCCAGGGTCTGGGACAGGAGCGGCTTTCCTGCAGGAAGAGGCCTTGGAGTGAGACTTCAGGATGAGGAGACCTTGGGCCAAGTGGTGGGCTCAGCAGCTTTCCTGTTTCCTTCAGGGCTTTGAAGGCAGAATGGGCAGGTGGAGGAGGGGGGAGGCCCATCTGCAGGAGGGGCCAGCTCTGGGGAGGGAGTCAGCACTGCGGGGTGAAGGTGGGAGGAGGCTTGATGGAGGCAGAGGAGGAAGGAGGTCTCCAGGTGTAGGAGGTGGCAGGATGGGTGTGACACCAGAGCTGGGCGGCAGCACTGCCTCACACTTTGCTGAAAGTGAGTCTCCCTATCTTCATCCTTGCTGGGGAGGCTGTTTGCTGGGTTCTCCTGGGCTTTGTTTGACTGCCTTCCCCTGATTTCCCCTCCACCTGAGCTCCCCTCACTGTCCACCCGTTCTCACACATAGCAAAATGACAAAAGTAAGTCCCTCCTTATCATAACTACCTTAAATGTAAATACACTGAAGTCTCCAATAAAAAAACAGAGATTGGCAGAATGGACAAAAACACATGATCCAACACATGATCATAAAAACACATGATCAACTTTGTAGATTTGCTGTCTACAAAGTCTCATTTTACATTCAAAGACACAACTAGACTGAAAGTGAACAGACAAAGATATTCCATGAAAAAAGTAACCAAAAGAGAGCAGGGATAGTTATATTAGTATCACACAAAATAAACTTTAAACAAAAAAAGTTTACAAGAGACAAAGAAGTACACTATGTATTAATACTAATGAAAGGTTCAATGCAGCAAGAAGATATAGCAATGATATGCATGACACACTGAATGACAGACCACTAAAATATGCAAAGTAAAAACTGTCAGAATTGAAGGGAGAAATAGTTCTACAATAATGGTTGGAGACTGCAATATCTATCTATCTATGTATTTATTTATTTATTTATTTATTTATTTTTACTTTAATTTCTGGGATACATGTCCAGAATGTGTAGGCTTGTTACACAGGTATGCATGTGCTATGGTGGTTTGCTTCACCTATCAACTCATCGTCTAGGTTTTACGCCTCACAGGCATTAGGTATTTGTCCTAATGCTCTTCCTTTCCTTGCTCCCCACCCCCTAACAGGCCCTGGTGTGTGATGTTCCCTTCCCTGTGTCCATGTGTTCTCATTGTTCAACTCCCACTTTTGAGTGAAAACATGCGGTGTTTGGTTTTCTGTTCTTGTGTTAGTTTGCTGAGAATGATGGCTTCCAGCTTCATCCATGTCCCTGCAAAGGACGTTAACTCATTATTTTTTATGGCTGCATGGTATTCCATGGTGTATATATACCCACTTCTTAATAATAGAACAACCAGACAGAATATAACTAAGGAAATAGGGGACTTAAACACACAATAAACCAACTAGATCTAACAGACATACAGAAAACGTTACCCAACAAAAACAGCATGCATATTTTTCTACAGTGCTTATGGGATGTTTTCCAGGATAGAGTATATGTTAGGCCACAAAATTAAGTCTCGATAGATTTAAAAAGATGGGTATCATAAAAAAGTATCTTCTTTAACGACAGTGGGATGAAGCTAGAAATTAGTAACTGAAGAAAAACTTTAAAATCCAAAAACTTTTGGAAATTAAACAGTACATTTTAAAACAACCAACGGATCAAAGAAGCAATCACAGGGGACATTAGAAAATGATTAGAGATGAATGAACATAAAAAAGCACCACCTACCAAAACCCAAGGAGCACCAAGGGGTATAATGTGTACCTATAAATATTTGTATCGTAAAACAAAAAATATCTCTATGAACAACCTAACTTTACAACTTAAGCAACTAGAAAAAGAGGAACAAACTTAAATCTAGCAGAAGGAAGAAAATAACAAAGATGAGAGCAGAGATAAACACAAAAAGAATAGAAAAAAATAGAATCAAAAGTTGTTTCTTGGGAGAGATGAACAAAATTGACATATCTTTAGCTAGATGAACTAAGAAAAAAAGGAGACTCAAATTACTAAAATCAGAAATGAAAATGAGGACAAGTCTACAAAAACAAAAAAGGATGATAAGAGTACTGTGAACAACTGTATGCCAACAAATTAAGACAACCTAGACGAAATGGACAAGTTCCTGGAAACACAAAACCCACCATGACTAAATCATGAAGACATAGAAAATCTAAATAGACCTGTAACTAGTAAAAGGATTGCGAGGCCAGAAATAACCCCTTCCAGATACAGTCAAATCACCTTTGACAAGGAACCCAAGACCCTTCAGGAGGGAAAAGGACAGTCTTTTCAATAAATCGTGTTGAGGGAACTAAATATCCACATACAAAAGAATGAAGTTGGACTCCTTCCTAACACTATACACAAAGATTAGCTAACATGGATCAAAGACCTAAATGTATGACCTAAAACAATAACATTCTTAGAAGAAAACACTGAACAAAAACATCACAATATTGAATTTGGCAACTAATTTTTGAATTCAATACCAAAGACACAGGCAATAAAAGAAAAAATTTGCAAACTGAATTTCATGACTTAAAAAACATTTCGTGCATCAAAAACCGCTATAAACAGAGTAAAAAGGCAACCCACAGAATCACAGAAAATATTGTCAAATCATGTATGTGGTACGTAGAGAACTCTTAAAACTCAACAACAACAACCACAAAAACCAAACAACTTAATTCAAAACTGGACAAAGAACTCCAATAGACATTTCTCAAAAGAAGATATACAAAGGGCCAATAAGCACATAAAAAGATGCTCAATATGACTCATCATTAGGGAAGAATGCAAATCAAAACTACAAAAAGATATCATTGTATATATATGCACCTAGTAGCATACTTACTATCTAGTAAAAGGAAAATAACAAGTATTGCTGAAGAGCGGTTGACTGCACACCAGCATGGTACCTGTACCCCGGCTCATGGCCTTCTCAGAGTCAGCTCCTTCCCCAGATCCCCGAGGGCCAAGGTCTTCATAGAACGGGAGGCTAAAAGGAAGAGCCAGCCTCAGTGCCTAGAGACAAGCGGCACTGCTGAACCCCACGTGGAGCCCACATCACAGGTTAACTCTAAAGAGCATCTGTCCCAAGTCCACAGGGTCAGGGGGAGCTTGGCCAGTGCCCAGGCTCCTGGGGAGTGGCCAGACCCGCCACAGCAGTCCCCGGGCTGGGCCAGGGCTGGGCCTGGTGTGTGGGGGGAAGGGGGGGACTCACCTGTCCCTAAGGATCACATACTCAGCAGGCACCTGAGGCTGTCCCAGGCTTCTCCACCGAGGCTTCCAAGCCTGCATGGGGCAGGCATGGGGCAGGGAAGGACTCAGCAGGAGGCCCAGGCCCGTCAACAGCACAGTCGCCAAGCCAGCAGCCAGCAGCACCCCTGGGAGGTGGGCGGGAGAGGGGGATGGGACTACATGGTGGCCACTCAGAGCCCCTCCAGGCTGCCTGGGATCGTGAGAACTGCTGTTTTGCATTTACCTCAGTGGCCCTGGCCTCCGCCCTGCTGCCCTTGCAATTGAACTTGTCACAGCTCCCTTCCTGCCTCTGGGCTTTATGCCATTAGTCTCCCGCTGGGAGGCCCTCCCCACTACCCTGTGCCCTTCCCTGTGAGGACCCTCCTGGGACAGTCCCGCATGAGGCCTGTGCTCTGAGTGTATGTGTGCGTGCATGCATGTAAGTGTGTGTGTGTGTGTGTAACAGAGAAAGAATTGCTGCCCTGCACCCAGGGCTCTGAGTCTTAGCTGTCAGAGGGCTGTGTCCTCTCGCCCATTGGGCAGGCCCCAGCCTAAAGAGCTCAGTACAGGTTGCTGACCTCTGGAGAAAAGAAGGAAGGAAGATGGGAAACCCACACTGGGGGCTCGTCTAGGGTGTCTGTGTGATCCTGACTCCACTCAAGGACGCTGTCCACTGGGGCAACTTTCAGGACCAATGGAGTATGAGAAGTGGGGAAGCAGAGGCAAGAAAGGAGGCCCCAAATGGGAAAAAATTTTGCTTGCAAATGAAGTCCTAGGTCAAGGACAAGCTGCACCATGCCACTGTCACTGTGGGCATATCTGGAGTTTGGAGGCTACACCCAGAGCCTCAGAGAGGGCTGACACATAGTAGGCGCCCAAGGCCTCAGACAAGGCTGACACACACTCAGGGCCCTGTGGCACGGCACTCCTCCCTGTATGCTCCAGTCCTGGCTGCTATGTCCTGTCAATCAGTACCTGTGATCACTGCCCAGTCTGGGCCCAGGTTTGGCAGCCTGTGCCTGAGGACGCCTTGCCTGCCCAGCTGATATGGGGATGAGGGCTGCACAGGGGACAGGCCAGGACCACAGGCCACCCCCTCCTCCTTCACCAGCACCACGGCCAGACTCTCTGGCTGCCCATTGTCTTGAAACGTGTATGTGCCTGGATCTAGGAACTGGTGGGCAAACCTGAGGAGCAGAGATCAGGAGTCAGAATGTGAAGGTTCACCTGGAACGGGCCGCTCACAGCAAGCCAGGTCTAAATGTCTCCCTGCATACGGAACAATGTGGTCCAGGGAAGCTGCTATAACCCCTGCTGGGCGCCAGGAGGTCCCACCTGCCAAGCTCCCCTCTGCCCCGTGAACAGGAGGCCTCTCCTGCCCCTGGGCTCTGGCCTGGCCGCCTGCATGGTCTGCAGTCTCCTGTGTTCTCCCATTGGCCAGTCCAGGGAGAGGCTGTGAGCCACACGGAGGAACCTCACCCCTTCCCCTCCCACCTCCCAAACTCCAGGGAGCTCAGCTGTGTTACCTTGAGAAGTTGAGGTGCGTCTCTCGCACCAGGTGGCTGAGTCTGCGGAAGGCCCCGGAGTCCCAGTGGGGGTTGCTGTTGAACAGATGCTGCTTCTGGTACACAGGGTAGTGGCTGGCCGAGCGGTCTGGGGGATGAATGCAGGGCTGGGCTGGGTTCCAGAGCCCGTCCCAGCCGCCGTCCTGAGCAACCCAGGTCCAGGGACAGACCCAGTATCCATCCTCAGAAGATGGATACATCCCAATTCCCTGAGGGGAACTGAGGTATGCTTCCCATGAGATGCCACGATTCACCCTGTCACACCTGTGATGGTGCATTTAATGATCTGGGTGCCAGGGCAAGCCCTCCTCCCTCTGCCTACAGAGGCCACTGGCACACAGAGAGCATGCTCTCAGCAGAGCCCCCAGGTGCCACGCCTTTCGTGGTGAGCACGGTCGATGCCCTGGCCCTCTCCCAAGCGGGGCAGCTCCTCTCTGCACCCGCAGCAGGCAACATGATGCGGGCATGCAGCAGGCACTAAAATGTGTGCTGTGGAGTGGCTGAGTGAAGGGGGTGGCAGTGCCTCTGACTGAAACCCGGGGGGCCCGGCCTGGCAGTTCCTCCACACAAGGAGCCTTTAGCTGAGCACGGCTGTCAATCCTTCTTCCTGAGCCCCCAGCTCCTGACCAACACGGGGCTGCACATGTGGAGAAAGGGGAAGTGACTGGGTTCACTTCACAGATGCCAATGCCAAAGCTTAGAGGGGGAAGGGGCTGCCCGGGTCCCAGCGGGTTACGGAGCGCACAGGCACCCTGAAGAGCGCATTTCCCGGGGTTCATTTCCCTCTTTGCTGCAGGTTGCCAGTGTTGGTCGAGGAGAATGGGAGGGAGCTGGGGTTGCTGAGGGCTCCAGGACCAGCGTTCAGTGGATGGAACGAGGATGCCATGTGTGGAGAGGATGCAGTCACAGCTGGGAGAGACGTGAGTGCCCCGTTCTCTCAGAGAGAAGGGATCAGGCCTGCTCTGGAGGTTCCCAGGGGTGGGGCCACAGCGAGAACACAGGCTTCAGCTCATCATGAGGAAGACGTTCCTTATCAACTGAGGCACCCCAAAGCAGAGCGGTCTGTGGTGTTTTGGGGTCCAGCCCTGCAGGATGACTGTATGGCACGGCTGGTGCTTGCCCCTGCAAGGGTCGCCGGGCTTTGGGAAGCTCTGGGAGGCCTGGGGCCCCAGGCAGTGGTATCCTTGGCCTGGGTGAGTCCCCACCGCCCTGAAGTAAAGAGGTGCCACTGCCGCAGAATGTCGGAGCAGGAACACCTGTCCCAACTCCCTGATTCTACACACGTGGAAATGCAGCCCACGGTGAAGTGAATAACTGGGGACAGCGCAGGTCTGGGATTCCTGCACTGACAAGGCCTGTTCTTAGGCAAGGCCACCCAGAAGGCCAGGGGAGGGATCAGAGGGCCCAACCCGGAGGGAGGCCGGTTGAGCTCAGTGGGCGGCACTCACTGTGGGGAAGAATATGAAGCTGGAAGAGGATCACGTCCCCTAGCCCCAGGCAGACCACGGGGTTTGGAACACGAGGATTGATGCCAGGGACCTGGGGGCCGGGCTGCTTTGGGCCTGAGGTCCGATAATGCCTTTGCAGCTGGGGGCTGGCTTCAGGTGGTCCTGGGAGAGTTGGGGAAAGGCCTGTTGAAGACCTGGGCTTGGGGGAAGGCCGGTGCTCACCCATCAGCCCCACCTGCGTCCCTTCCCTACTGGGCCCTCTCCATGCAAAGGTCTCTCCTTTGTAACCATCTGTGTCGTCTGCCAGATTCTCCCCTCTGGAGCACCTAGGACACAGCTGAGAGGTTTCTGAGGGACTGTAGGTGGGCCCTGCAGCCTCCATGCTTTGCCTTTGCTGGGAGAATGCAGCCATGCCCCACATCCGCCACGCTCTCCAGGAAGGCCTGGGTTTGGTGCCCTCTCCTCCACTTACCGAGAAGAAAGGAGCTGAGCACATCTGCTCTGAGGATGATGAAGCCGAAGATGCCGTGGGGGCCAAACTGGACCAGATGGACCCTGGCGCTCCCTTGGAAGAGCTGGTCTGGGCCCAGAGTGCTTGATACTTCCTGAGAAAATGCAGCATGAGATCCCAGGCCCGGGAGGAAGGGTGGCAGAGATGGACAGACAAAGACCCAGGTTGGGCCCTGGTGTTCCTTGGGACGCAGTGACAGCCACCCGCAGCCTCTCCAGTGTGGCCTCCTGGGCCCTGTTCCCCTCCTTATCTTCAGAACGCACCAGAACTCAATCCGAACCCTCTACTGGGTCACTGCGTGCCCTTTTCCCTCTACCTACAAACATCCTACTTAGAGACCGACTTGGAGACATCTCCCTATCACCCCCAATCTGCTGCCCAGTCCCAAGCCAGACGATCCTCCGTGGCCCTCCAGTGGCAGCAGACAGTGCACCACCCAGAACCTCATGGCAGATGCAATCCATGCAGGGCCAGCCTGACCCGCCTTCTGCATGTACTGGCCTGGCCTGGCCCAGGCCCTGGCCCCCTGAACCCTCTACCCCAAGGAGGCATCAAGGCCCTGAAGATGGCGGTAGCCACCACCTCGAAGGCCAACACGTGGCCCTGCCCTGTGGTCAGAGTTCCTGTTGAGAACAAGAAACCCAGGCTGGCTCCAGCAGAGCACACACCATTTACTGGGCATGGCAGATGATGCCTTGTATCCAGGCCTCACTTCACACATCTGTAAAGTGAAGCTGATGCTTTCTTGGGTCTTATTTGGCCTTTAAACAGAATGATTGACATTAATGTACAAAATACCACCTGCTACCTCCTTCCTGCCCTTGCCTTCAGCTTGCAGATTGGAAAGCCATGCAGATGGCAGGGCTGGGTGGGGAAGACCAGTCACCATGTGGCCTTTTCCCTCTGCCACCTGGTTTCCTTGACGTGGTGCCTGGGTGGCTCCATGTCTCCCGATCCCCACCCCAGAGTGGAGGGGTGGCCTCCCACCCAGCCTCCCTGAGCCAGGCTCACCATCTGGACGCTGTCCCCAGCCTCACTCTTCACTCTGAGAATCAGCTCCCTGCTGGGGCCCCAGGCCAAGGAGAGCTGGGGGGCCTGGGCCAGACACTGGGCGTCACAGAGCTCCTTCGCTGAGATATACTCGCGGCACTGGCAGCTGCAGGAAAGGAGGGGCGAGGGGCTGTTCTGGTGGGTGCGGAGAGGATGCCCCGGCCCCTAATCCTTGCAGCCAAGGCAGGTCCCTCAGGAGGGATGGGTGGGTTGTCAGCCTTTCCCCAAGGAAGGCGGGCTGCCTGCTTCCTCAACAGCCATTGCACTTCTAATGGAGGTCTGGGTTGCACACTGCAGCTTTGGTGTCCTGCTGAGGCAGGTGTGGGGAGAAAGCTGCTCAGCCTGGAACAGTCCTGTTGATCCAAAGGCAACTGCTCCCTGCTCAGTCCACAAGTCAGCAGCAGGATTGGGGCTAAGGACAGAACTGGGGGCCCCCTCTGGGCTTAGCATGTGGTGGGACTTAGCTCCTGCACTTGGCTCAGGGGC